TTGACCAGAATCAAACCTGGGACCCTTCAGTTCGCAGGCCGACGCTCTAATCCACTGAGCCAAACTGGTCAGGACAGGATATGCTTTTAAAGATTAAAAGCAGAAACCAGATATACTAAGTTTAATTTTACAAACTGGTTTAATATGCTGAGGGATGATGCTGGGATCTGGAATTCTTGCGCTTTCTCACAGTGGAGTGGCAGCAGGTGTCTTGATAGATGCTCTTTGCGGCAGGCTCCTCTCCCCATTTATGTATCAGTCAGTGTGGCACATGTGCCTTAAAGGGGTGTCTGAAGGGCTCAAAGCTGCCAGGCCAGAGAGTCTCGATCTCTGACACTGGAATCTTGGATGCAGGGCAAGTACTGAATGGAGAAGGGCCAGAACCAAAAAAATGAGTCCATTTGCTACTTAGATTTTGAAACTGTTACAAGGTATCTCAAATGAACTCAGTTTTTGTGTGTGTGTGTGTGTGTGTTTAATATATTTCTTTATTGATTTCAGAGAAGGGAGAAGGAGATAGAAATATCAATGATTAGAGAGAATCATTGATTGGCTGCCTCCAGCACCCCTCCCCCCCACTAGGGAACGAGCCCGCAACCCAGGCATGTGCCCTTGGCTGGAATCGAACCTGGGACCCTTCAGTCCGCAGGCTGACGCTCTATCCACTGAGCCAAGCCGGCTAGGGCAAATGAACTGTTTTATCAAATTATATTTCATGAGGAGATTTTAGAAAGTTTTCTATCTGGTTTTTGTCTTCCTACTTTTGTAACCATTCTCATGGTCTCTTGGCTGTCAAGTTTCACTTTATTTTATTTTTTAAAGTCTTTATTGTTCAAAGTATTGCATAGCTGTCAACTTTTATGTGCTGAAATTCTTGGCTTTTGGTCACTGCAGAAACGTGAAGAGGGCTGGTGGGTGGTGATCGGAGATGCCAAGTCCAATAGCCTCATCTCCATCAAGAGGCTGACCCTGCAGCAGAAGGCCAAGGTGAGTGTCCACTGGCCCAGGAATTGTTCTGAGATAGACAGGCAGGCGGGAGCACTCTCCCTGTGTCCTGCTCACCCTGATTCCTGCCTGCTCTCTCTAGGTGAAGCTTGACTTTGTAGCCCCGGCCACTGGTGCCCACAACTACACTCTGTACTTCATGAGTGATGCTTACATGGGATGTGACCAGGAATACAAATTCAGTGTGGATGTGAAAGAAGCTGAGACAGACAGCGACTCGGATTGAGTGCAGAGGCCTTTGCCTTTGCATAGAGTTGAAACTTGTACATTTGAACGGGATCACAGCTATGGAGACCAGGTCTGTTGGCTGGGAGAACTGGCAGTCAGTGCAGGTGCCGTCCCAGCCCACCTCCAGTTTTCCACTTGCTACCTTGCCATCCAAACTTTGGATCCAGTGTCTGCAGGTGTTGTGTAGCTGTTAAGCATAAACTGTACAGCATTTTTATGCATGTTCTTGGTAGTTCTTTGATTACACAATCATTCTAATAAAACAAGTTGAAGAAACCATTTGTTGTTCCAGTGATTCCAAATTAAATTTCCTTTTGCTAACCTAAGGCCCCATGGCCAAAAATATTTATTTTTTTAACCACTGAACTCGCTTAGAAGGAATACTTCTGGAGGACAAGGCTGTTTGTTGGGCTGTCACAGGCAGCCATTTCAGCCAGTGTGGAGGAGGGGTTAGGTAACTTCTCTTTGGTCAGTATACCTGCCCCCATCTCTTGCTACCCGGATATCACCATCACTGCAGGAACTAACACAGCTGCAGGGGCAGATCCAAGGTTAGAAATTTCTCAAGATCTGTAGACTCTCTCCCCGCCGTCCCCCAAGGAGGCAGCACAGGAGGGACTGAAATGTACCAACTGGGTACACTGATACTGTGTTCCAGATCTACAAGCTTTCTACTCCAAATTCTTGCCTTCTGCTCTTGAGGAATAACTGTATAACATTAGATGATTCTCAAGGATATTTTCCTTAGATCTTGGGAACCCTTTACACTATAAAAATTAAGAACCCCAGAGGTTATCCACTGGTATTTACTATATTAAAAATAAAAAGTCCTGCCGAAACCGGTTTGGCTCAGTGGATAGAGCGTCGGCCTGCAGACTGAAAGGTCCCAGGTTCGATTCCGGTCAAGGGCATGTACCTTGGTTGTGGGCACATCCCCAGTGGGAGATGTGCAGGAGGCAGCTGATCGATGTTCCTCTCTCATCGATGTTTCTGACTCTCTATCTCTCTCCTTTCCTCTCTGTAAAAACTCAATAAAATATATTAAAAAAAAAAAAAAAAAAAAGTCCTGGCCAGTGTGGCTGTTTGAGGTTGAGCATCATCCCGTGCGTGTCACTGGTTTGATTCCTGGTCAGGGTACATACTAGCTTGTGGGTTAGTTCCTGGTGAGGGTGCTACAGGGAGGTATCCGACTGATGTTTTTCTCTCCCTCTCTAAAATCAATAAAAACATTACTTCCAAAGCAAATCCAGGGTAAAGAGTGACCTGTGACACTTTTAAAAATCTCATTCCTCTGATTAAATAGAAGACAAGGATTCTTGTAGTTGCGTCAATTGTGTGTTATTTAAATTGAAGTAAAGCTGACTATACACATAAGCAGTTGAAGTTTTTATAGCCATTTCAGGAAGTTGTGGCTATTCAATGCTACAGTGAGACTCTGTAAGTGATAGTTTCTTAGATGCAATGTGGAGTCTGAAACCTTACCAATGAGCTTCTTGTACCGTTATGTTAAGACCTACAGTCTCTCTTACCTCTTACCCATGAGTGATTCTGTAACATCATGCATTAATCATTTGGAAAATGCTGATTCACTTAATCAGGCAGACATATGTCAACATATTTCATCCTACAAGTCACATTTGTTGGTATCACTACCAGTCTCATCAGGAGAGTAAGAATTGGGAAGATGGCAAGCTCATGGTGGCTATGCAAGTTTTCCAAAATTCAAATTTTTGCTTGAAAGCTTGATCATTGGCAATGCTATCAGTTGCCCTTGAAGTGAAAGGCTTTCATTTCCTAGAAATCATAGGCCAAGTAGCCAAATTTTGATACCACAATTTGCTACTTCTTTTAAGTAAAAATGATACATAGCTCGCTCAGCTACACATCTGCTTTTCCTTAAGACAGACCTCTGTGCTTCTGCATGCTGCCATTGCCATCGTTTCCCAAGGGTCAAGATCTTATAGCCTGTATTTGTTCTTGAAGGACATTTCTAAGTGAAGTTGACAATACTGCTGTGAGGGCAAGGCACTGAAGACTACTACAGCCCTGGCTGGTATACTCAGTGGTTAGACCTCCAACCCACACACCAAATGGTCACAGGTTCGATTCTGGTCAAGGGCATGTACCTGGGTTGCAGGTTCCATCCCTGGCCCTAGTTGGTCGGAGCGCACACAGGAGGCAACCAATGTGTCTCTCATATTGATGTTTCTCTCTCTCTCCCACTCCCATTCTTGCTAAAAAAATAATGGGAAAAATATCCTCAGATGATGATTTAAAAAAAAAAGAGAGAGAAAGAAAACCCCAAACTATAACTACTAGTTGGTGCCACTGCCGTGGTTCCTGCCAACATGCCAACAGCTGACCTCTCGGACACAACCTCCAGGCGCTTGGGTTGGTACTGCTCTGTCTGCCACTTGAGTCTGTCAGTATTTCTGTTGTGTAAAAAATTAATGAAGGCTATAGCTTTGGGGAACTGTCCTCAAGTCAAAACCCATATGGAAATGACAAAAGAACTTGAGATGACAGAACTGATCGCCCATGGCAGTATTCACCACCTTTTTTTCATCACCCTCTTCAAGAGCTGTATCAGACATCTATTTTTTTAAAAAATCCTCATCCAGCCAAAACCGGTTTGGCTCAGTGGATAGAGCGTCAGCCTGCGGACTGAAAGGTCCCGGGTTCAATTCCGGTCAAGGGCATGTACCTGGGTTGCGGGCACATCTCCAGTGGGAGGTGTGCAGGAGGCAGCTGATCGATGTCTCTCTCTCATCGATGTTTCTAACTCTCTATCTCTCTCCCTTCCTCTCTGTGAAAAATCAATAAAATATATTTAAAAAAAAAAAATCCTCATCCAAGGATATTTTTTCCATCGTTTTTTAGAGAGTGGAAAGGAGGAAGAAGGGGAGAGAAACATCGACGTGAGACACATTGGTTGGTTGTCTCCCATACGTGCTCCTACCAAGGCTGGAGAACTTGTAACCCAAGTATGTGCCCTTGGCTGGGAATAGAACAGCCGTGGGCAAACTACGGCCCATGGGCCGGATCCGGCCCATTTGAAATGAATAAAACTATTGAAAAAAAAGACTGTACCCTTTTATGTAATGTTTACTTTGAATTTATATTAGTTCACACAAACACTCCATCCATGCTTTTGTTCCGGCCCTCCGGTCCAGTTTAAGAACCCATTGTGGCCCTCGAGTCAAAAAGTTTGCCCACCCCTGGAATAGAACCTGGGACCTTTTAGTCCAGTGGTCGCCAACCTTTTGGACCTCACGGACCACCAGTGGTCTGTAGTTCATAGGCTGACGCTCTAACCACTGAGCAACCAGCAGGGCTATATCAGACATCTTTTGCCTACTTGCCTTCACCATGAAAATTTAATACCATAGATACACTGCATGTTGTGTACTAAAGTCCTTTAGAAGACCACAAATCATTGTCTATAAGATTTTTCTGTCCTTCATCGAAGAGCCAATTTTCAGCCCCATTGAGAATGCATGGCCTATGGCCAATAATAATTCTCCCTTTTAGATGTCACACCCTTCCCTATTTTTTTGGCATTCCCCGGAAGGCATAGAAAATACACAAAGGTTCCTAAGGGAAAGCAGAGATGTCTTACTCTAAACTAGCCTACATCAGAAAATCTTCAGTACTGAGTGAATGTCTTAAATGCAAGGACTTCGTCAGAAATCAGGAAGGCAGGACCTATTTCAGAAAGGGATTCACCATGGAAATGTTTTAAATTATGAATGTCCTAATAATATACATAGGACTTGGGACTCAGATGGATTATTTCTATAAGGCTTATAATTTCAGAAAGGTCTGAGATATGTGCCTCTGATATATAAACATGGTGATTATAAGTAGTATATTCACCCCGCAAACTTTAGCACTGTGTCCTGAAGGGAAGCAAAATCCGTGGCATAACTACAAGGTACTGTTCTTCCACAGTTCTTCACCAAGGGCCCATGTCAACGTGGGAAGGAGTGAGTAGTCATATGGCTCCGCACGTCTACCCAGATCTGAACGGGAGAGCCAAGTTAAAGGAAGGCCAGGCTGCTCTTCCAGGTCTTCTTGGGCTAGAAAAGTCTTAATGACATTTTGGGGGGAACCATAATTCCGTCCAAAGTCAAGGTGGCTCAGAGGCCGTCAAGCCGCTGATACTTCCAGAAGGCCATCTCCCCATCATCACTGCAGGAGGCCAGAAGCCCCCGCTCCTTGGGGTTCCAGGCTACACAGTTGACATCCTGGGAGTGGGCCTGAGGCAAGTGCGCTGTCAGGGAGAAGGTGGGCTGCTGCGGATCTGAGCCGGGGTCCTCCTCAAACACTCGGATGGCATCGTCCCCACAAGCTGTAGCCAGGGCCCCTGTCAGCGAACACCTGGGAGGAACACATGCATCAGTGATTGTGCTGGTGGCCCCTCCCTCCCCAGCCCAGCAGGTTAGTAGAGGATGCTGATTTTATAGGCCCTGGCTGGCTTCTTCCCAAACGTCTGGCTTCAGCTAGCGTGTCTTATTGAAGAGTTCCCCTAATTAATGTATAGCCACAGACATCACCCACTAAGCATTCAAGTGCTGCCATCCAGGTTTCCCCCAATACAATTAACCTAAAAAACTAAGTAAGATACTGAATTACACTTTGGTCACTTTGCATAAGCAATTTCCTTTGTCATCATGAACTTTGCTTAATCATTTTTTAAAAGTAGTATATCAGGCCATTGAATTTTACCACACTTAAGCCTGTTTTTGTTACTCCCAAATGTTTGTTAATGTAAATAAAGCTTAGAGGCACATCAACTCTTCATTATTTAGGATTAGATTTCATTATCTAGGGATAGATTCTTAGGGCTAGAACTACCAAAGGGGGCAGAGAGCAGCACATGGTCTGAGTTCTCTAAAATGTCTCCAAATTGGGGAGCGGAGTGGAGATGGGGAAGCGAGATGGAGGCATTACCAAGCAATGTCGTAGATGGTCCTGGAGTGGAAGCCTGACAAAGTGCAGATACATTTCCAGCTGGGGTCAGAGCCGCTGCACGCCACCCCTGCATGACAGACTTCTCTTGAGTCCAAGGCACATCTGTGTCCCAGGCACCTCAGGGGTCTAAATGCCTCACTGCAGAGATTCTAATTTGCCCTTGCTTACCCTCACCCTCAATCATGAGTCCCCATCTTCATTTCTCTGTCCCCACTCTCATGGCTCTGCCTCACATACTATGGCCAGACTGGTATTTTTTTCAGAATTCTGAGAAGGAAATGTGCTGTTCTCTAAAAAAAACTTTTGTTGCAGACTGGTTAGTCTGCCTTTGAAGGCCACCCACCAGCCAGCCCAACCCACCTTATTTCCCCCCAAACCCTTTATACACCTCATGCTTCACCTAAAGGAAGCACTGCTCCTGTGAGATCTAGGCTTTCCCATCTTTAATGCCTTTGCTCATGCTGTTCTGTTCTCACCCAGAGTTCTCTTCTTGTAAAATCCTACACATCCTTTCAAGTTCCGATGAAACAGCCCTTCTACGTAGCCTTCCCTGCTTCTTCCATCTCCGGTGCTCTCTCATGGCATGTCTCCCCTTCTACCCGTTTGCTGTGCTTCATCTGGGTCTCAGCCAGACTGTCAACCTCTTAGAGAGGAGTCTTCTTAGCTCTGTGCCTGGCCCCTCACCTTGCTCATTGCCTGGTAGGTACTGGCGCCAGATGCGCACGGTACGGTCATCACTGCAAGACGCCAGACGCTGGCCACTGGGGTCAAAGGCCAAGCTCCACACGGTGGATTCATGACCCTCAAGGGTGGCACAGCACACCCAGTCGTCCTCTTCCTCCCGGTATAGCTTCACCGTGTCATCATAGCTGGCAGAGGCTAACAGCTGGGGACATGGGGAAAGCACAGCACTTACGGCCCAGGAAGTGCCTGTGGCTCCAATACCTCCCCCTGCTAGGACAGGACAGTCCCAGGGAGCTTCTTTATAACGGGGACAAATGTCTTTTGGCCACAGGTAGTGATCTCTTTGAAAGCCAGCTGAGGCTGACAAGCAGAGGGGGGCTGGGCACCCCCTCCATACCTGAATTCCTTCCCACCGAGATACTTTGCCAGACTGTTACCTCCTGGCTTGGGTGCCAGACCACATGCTTGACATCCTGCGTATGGGAATTGAGGACACTGACACATTCATACTCATCTTCTTCGTCAACTGTGGGAAAACAAACAGGAGCCCACAAGCTGACCTTGTGAGGGTCACGTAGCAGATTATCTGTCTGCTGGCTCCCAACTGCACCAGGAGGGACCTAGACTCACCTTCCCAGACCCACACACTCTTATCTCGGCTGCAGGTAGCAAGGAGGTTGCCAGATGGGGCCCAGGCCACTGACTTGACCTCATTTTCATGTCCTTCCAGAGTGGTCACACACTGTGAGAAGGGAAGAGGGACAAGCATCAATGGCATTTAAGACCCTTGGATAGACCATTGGCCCAGGTTGGTTCAAGTTCCTGAACCAGTTCTGGGGAGCAAATTGCAATGATCCTGGTCCCATCCAGTCTGGTTACCTCAAAGTCATCCTGATTCTTCTTCCAAATACAAGTGGTGGCATCAAAACTGGCAGAGGCCAGGTAATTGCCGCAGGGAGACCAGGCCACCTTCCGCACAGTGCGCTGGTGGCCTTCAGAAAGGACAGATTTGCAGATCCAGTTGTCACCTAAAAGTAGAGGCCAGGCCAGGCACTGGGGCTGAGCGCACAAGAAGACACTGAAACACTATCACTGTCATCTGACACTGAAGCCAAGCTCAATGGGCACATTTAACAATATGCTTTTAGGAAGAAGTACCTGACCTACTTCCTCTGGAGGCATCACCTAATTTAAAATGATCAAAGGCTGCCCAGCCAGCGTGGCTCCGTGGCTGAGAGTCCACCTATGAACCAGGAGGTCACGGATCAATACCATGGCTGGGGCACATGCCTGGGTTGCAGGCTCAATCCCTAGTTTGGGGCGTGCAAAAGGCAACTGATCAATGGTTCTCATCACTGGTGTTTCTCCCTCTCTCAAACCAATAAAGTACTCGCGCGCGCGCGCACACACACACACACACACACAGTCAAAGGCTGCCGAATAAAATTTAAACTTTACCGTCATCGCAAATTACTCTGCAGGCTACTTTTCACAGCCCTTTTCTAATCGGTCTCCTGCCCCAGCAACTATCACAATTTCCTCCACAGTTCCAGGCTGTCCGCTGACGTTTTGGCTTCTAGTACTTGCCTGAAAAGTCTTTCTAGGAGTGACTAAAGTCCATCTCGAGGTGGCTTCTCCGCCCCCCCAAAACCCCTGGACTCACCCTCAGCACAGCACCTGCATAGTACGCACGCGGAACGCCCGGCGGCGGGGTCGCGCGCCCAGGCCGAGCCTTACCCTCGGTGCCCCAGATGCGGACTCTACGGTCGCCCCCGCACGAGGCTAGCAGGGTTCCCGTGGGGTTCCAGGCCAGGAACCAGCAGCGCGAGTCCGGGTGCGCCGGGACACGGCCCAGCAGCACCAGCGAGTCCTTCATGGCGACCCGACGCAGTACGAGGAGTTGGGCGCGTCCCCACGGCAGGCTCCACTGTGCAGATTCCGGGACCCGATTCTGCCTCCTAGGACCGCCGGTCCGGCCACTTCCGCCCGAGAATCCCGGTCGACCTGGGAACTGAAGTGCCCGCTAATGCGGCCGCGCTGCCCCCTGGGAGTTGTAGTCGACCTCCCACTCCAGCATAAAGCGTCGCGGTACCGTTTCGAACTACCAGTCCCGTGAGGCAGTAGAGAGGCTGTGGTGCTCTGGACTATGACGCGAGCGGGGACAGGGCGGGGAGCCGGAGGAGGCGGAGGCCGAGGCAGAGGCAGAGGCAGAGGAAGCGGAAGTGGGTCGGACCCGGATTGGTCCGGGAGTAGTGGGTCAGGGCCTGGATCGCTTTGCCCGGGCAGCTGAGGACGGGACGAGCGGCGCCACCCTTGAGGCCTGCTGACCGGTGAGGAGCAGCGATCGGCGTGGGAAGGGTCTTTTCTGGGCAGAGGTCGATCCCTGCGGCTCAGCCTGGTCCTCCCCACTTGGAACCCTCTGGCTGAGACTCCGGGTCCGGTCTCTCTCCCATCAGTAGCCCATACCCTCGCCCTCCAGCCCAATCCTCTCCGGGTCCTCATTCCGCGCCTCCATTCCAGGCACCCAGTCGCCGTCTCCGCCCCTGAATCCCGCAGCCCTCGGGTCTCCGCTCGGCCCCAGGTGCCACTCCCCCAGCCTCCGGTGTCCGCCCTGGCAGCCCTACGGTTCCTCACCTGCGTCCTCCCTGGAACAGGCAGACTCTGCGCCCCCCTGAAGTCGGCGGCGAGCAGCAGCGACCGCGGAGCGACGGC